AACGTCTCCAAGCTAAAAGCACGTGTAAATAAATATCCTCATTCTGATGAAGGCTCGAAGCAACGAGTCGAAAGCTCAATAAAAAAATCATTTATAATCCGGAGAAATTTTTATCTTTTATGTATTCAATGCCTGGATTACAAATTTTCAAACTTATATATATATATATATATATATGTTTGAGGTATAAACTGTCATACGGAAGCAGCAATTTTATATAGTGGTTCTTATTTCATTCATTCAGAAAACTGTGTACCGAGGGCGTCATGTTTAATGCGCAGCATTGACAGCAAAGATTTTCTGATTTTAATGTAACAGTATAAATAAAAATGTACAAAAGTTGAATGACTCGTTTTTTAAGTTTGTTCATTTTATCTGAAACAAATATTTTAAGCCAATCTTTACAAGTATATTTTAGTATCTCAAGTCCATTAACGGGTGGGTCGACATCTTCAATGCTTTTCATAAAATCTTTCATAACAGTCTCCTTAGACACGCTTTCTAGGGCATCATCGAAATACAACATCGCACGTTCATCGGGTTCCATCATCAAACAATCATGTTGCGTTGGGAGGGATGTTGGATCGCACAACCATAGCAATTCTTGTTTACTGCGGCATGTATCATTGCAGTAATTCCATCGGCGTAACAGTCTAATAGTTTTTTTCCAGCAAACTTTGACGTTGACTTATTTCATTTTCTTGTTCTAAGTCCAAAAGTTTACTTATTTCATTTTCTTCTAAGCTCAAAGCCGACATTTTTAAGGCTAGATCAATGTCTACTTTCAATGACATTTATTTTTAAAGAGATAAAATGTAAACCTTTCAATAAAGAGTAAGCTATGAAATGCAATCGACTTGTTATCTGTTGCTGTACCATGGATTGAGAAAGGAAACAGAATTACCGATACTGGAACAATTCAATATGGAACAATGGCATCCTTCTAATTTACATCTGTTTCATTTGCCGTTTATCACATTAGCCTATTACACTCGACTTCCCGCCTGAGTCTGTTTCCCGTTGACATGCGCGCGCACCGATCAACATCAGGGGACTGGAAACTAACTGGCACGGGTAAGAGCTCTGTGACAAAAGTGTGACAAAGCTGCACGATAACTACTGTCGTCAATACGAAATAATGAATTCAAGTATATTTTGACTTAAGAAATGACTTCGGATCTTTTTAAAGGTTGGGAAAAAGTCAAAAACCTTAATCAACTGGAATAATGGCGGCCACTATGCGCGGCACAACATGCGCGAGGACAAAAGCATCAAAGATTCCGACACGAGTGACTCTTCTGTATATTCTTATTCTGTGGCAGCTATCAGGATCTTCATTGTCGTACCTTTGAAATAAGAAATGAAATACAGTCAATTGTAAAAATATCTAAAAATCAATGAGATCAACCAAATATATAGCTTACCTCAAAAGGCTTGGTACGCTTTCGTTGAAATTTGTTTGAACGTTTCTTCTCGACCTTAGTACGTCGTTTAATAGTATCTGTCTGGCTTCCTTTACTTGCTGTGTTCCTTATATCTGCACTTGTCACGTGGCTTACAATGTCTAATCCATGGCAAACACGTGATAAATGGATTGCATGACAGACTATGGAAGCAAGTGTTAGCTTAAGACTGGTTTTCATACAACATAATTCGTCGTAATTCAATGTCGTAATTTGTTGTATGTCATTGTTATGCACAATCTGACGTATGAAAACCGAAATCATAATTATCTTATCTTTCGTTTTTCACGACAATTACGACAGTTTTACTACAGCCTCAATTTAATGAAAATCGTGATTCCCTTCAATTGCGACAAAATACAACAAAACTTGTGAGACCAAGCATCAATTACAACGAATTGAGACAAACGAATTACGTCAAACAAAGACGACTTATGTCATTGAGAAACCAGTTTTGAAAACAATTAAAGCAAATGAATTCTGAGTTTCTGACGATTTATGCTGCATATGAAAAACAGCCTAAACTAATGTACTCGGCGTAATGTGGTTAACAGAAAACAACGGAATAGAACAGAATGGACATAGAAGTCTTACTTGACATAGCCGTTACATTTACTAATTTTATCATGCACTGTCTGTTAACGATTCACGATACTGTCGTTCAATTTATATTTGATAAATGTCGTTTCCCATTATTAAGATCTCATGCCTACTGAAGACATTGTTTTCACTTGGGTTTATTAATGATGGAATCACAAGGTCAGACTTAACTCTTGCATGTTAAATGTAGTTTGGAAACAATATCAGTTTTTGTGAAATATAGGTCACGTTACGGCACATTGAACAAACACGCGAACGCAGTAGCGTAGCTTACTTTGATAAGGGAGGTTGAAGGATATTCATGTCGCCGCTTACACGTAAACAACGATCTTTAGATCTACAAGTTGTAATAATTTTAATACATTTAAATAATTTAGTATTTATATTAGAGGGTTTGGTTTTCACAGGTTCAGATTTCTTACTTGTACTGCTTATACTTTTATGTTTTCACCCCATTGACATAAATCTCATCTTTTCCAATCAGTAACGTAGCCAGCTGGGAACAATAAATTTCTACAAAGAAATGAATAATGGTAATCCTTCGTAATTTACACAGCGGAAGTAAATCTGCAGGCTGGCTACGTTACTGATTCTAATTTCTACTCTACATGGTTCATTCCGAATGGACCATCTCTATTAGTTGCTCCCAAAACAGCACTTAAAAGGAAGGAAAAATAAGCAACCACGCATTAGCAGACGCTGTTAACAATGGCAGTATAATGTTGTTGTTTGTACAATCAAAAAATCATTTACCCTCATGCTCAACATAGAAAACAGATGGATAAAATATGTGTAAAATGACACTTTGGGATAACAGAAATAACACTGGTCAACAGCAAATTTGGTGTCTCAGTTTTGTAAACTGATTTTGGATAATTTTGATGTGCTGAGTCCAAAAATAACACTATTTTTGCTGGGTCAGGTCGAGATTTTAAACTATCGTTAATTTTCTATTTTTTAACTTTTAAATACCCGAGAAAGGTACAACAGAAGCACTAACCATTTACCTTTTAAAGTTCTATTATCTGAACAAATTTAAATTTTTTAGCACTAGCAATACAAAGAAGAAAGCATTTGAATAAGCAATTTTTGATTGAATTTCAATTAGGGAGTTTAGGTTTTGCGATTATTATGGGATATTTAAAGATAAAATAAGGCTTTATTTAGCCCATACTGAAATTCAATGGTAAAACTTGTTAAAACACACCAACATATTAATGTACGTAAAAATAATAAAAGTAGAAATAAGAAAAATAAGCCAGATGTTTTTTGCTATGTTTGTGGTGAATACACACTTGCACCAAATCGCAATACTGTCACCACCTTTATCAAGCGCGTTTACTATGCATATTTTGGCATGAAGCTCGGCGATCAAGACAAAAGTTGGGCACCTCACATGGTTTGCAAAAGATGGCACGCAAAAGTCCATGAACTTTGGCATCCCCATGATTTGGCGAGAGCCTTAAATCATGCAACCGATTGCTACTTTTGTGCTATCAATGTCATGGGAATTAACAGAAAAAATCGCACAACACTGGAGTATCCCAATCTACCGTCAGCTATGCGCCCTACTCCTTATAGTGAAGAAATTCCCGTACTTGTATTTGAAGATACAAGTATTGAAGAAAGCAGTAGTAGCCAGGATGAAACTCAAAGCATTGCCACTACCGTTGATGCATCCTTTCCACATGACTAAATTGTTTTCCCGATGGCAAAATTGTTTCCCAAAACGAACTAAACGATCTTGTTCGCGATTTAAATTTGCCAAAAGACTCTGCCGAACTTCTTGCATCTCGTTTAAAGGACAAGAACATGCTAAATGGTAAAGTTAAGGTAAGTTTCTTCCGTACCAGGCACCAGGAATTTTTAAGATATTTTGCTCAAGAAAAAGAATTAGTCTATCGCAATGACATAGTAGAGCTACTGAAACATCTCGGCGTACCTGAATACAAATCAGAGGACTGGCGACTTTTTATCGACAGCAGCAAAAGGTCCTTGAAATGTGTGTTGTTACACAATGGAAATCAATTTGCATCTGTGCCATTGGCAGATTCGACAACATTAAAAGAACAGCATGAAGCAATTAAGTACGTCCTAGAAAAAATTTCTTATGACCAACATAAATGGCTGATTTGCGTTGACTTTAAAATGGTCAACTTCTTGCTTGGTCAACAGTCTGGATTTGCCAAATACCCATACTTTTATGCCTCTGGGATAGTAGGGATCGTACTCATCATTACGTGAAAAAAGAATGGCCAGTACGTGAAGAGCTTGCAAGTTGTAGAGCAAAAAATGTGATAAACAAGCCTCTAGTTGACAGGGGACGTATTTTATTTCCTCCACTGCACATAAAGTTCGGTTTGATAAGGCAATTCACTAAAACTTTGGATAAAGATGGACGGTGTTTTCAGTTTCGTTGTAAAACCTTCCCCAATTTGTCAACTGAAAAATTAAAAGCTGGTATTGATCCCGAAAATCTTGGCTCTTTAAGCGATGAGCAAGGAGAACGCTTTCACCATGACTTAAGAGAAAGGTGGGACATGGTGATGATGGCAGACTACTGTTGGAATTTAAAAAGAGATGTGCAAGCACCAAAACATTCGCGACAATCAAAAAAAACGAAAATTTAGACCGTAATAATGCAAACATTAAGTTTTCATTTTTAGTTACATGTACTGTACATGAAGTGTACATGATTCTTTCTTGGAATACTGCAATTTTATCATAAAAACTGACATTTTGTTTTGAAACATCTTGAAAACATGTACATCTTGAAAACATTGTTTTAAAAAAATATAACTAAAGTCGCATAATTTTAAATTCAAATTTGCAAAAAAATTTGACCTCCGAGAGCAAAATGAATGTTATTTCTAGATTTAGCATAGCAAAAATATAGTAAATCTGTCAAAAAATATCAGACACCTTTTAAAAAGTTTCTTTTTGTTGACCAGTGTAATTATAAGTTGTTGCTATAAGACAAATTGAATAAATATAATTCAAAGTCTTTGTTGTCATAGTAAACATAAGCATTCTTAAAAGTAAAGTTATCTATATCGGTTCAGTTAATAATAAACTTTGAGATCAGAGCCATTAATAGAACTTTAATTGGGAAGGGGGGGAGGGTGTGTATTGATATATTCAGGTGTAACTGACTTATTTCTTTAGAATAGTCCGTTGCCTGTGTAATAAAAATGTCCTTAGAAATAAAGTTTCGTAGCCACCATCGCGGTGCTAAATTTTATGAACGGTAATATGACTTTGCTCAAAATAACAGCGGTATGTGAAGTACTTCATGTAAAAGATGGTCGCCTAAACAGCAAAATGGGAACGATCTTCATCGTCAAAATTCTAAAAAACTACGGGTTTTGTTGAGTGGGAACAAAGAAATTCGAATTCAGCATGTCAAAAACTATAGAATGCCGTTCATAAAATTTAGCATCCTGATGGTGGCTACGAAAGTAAATGTTTTGAGGCAATAGGCAACGGACTAGAAATCCTACATATTATAAAGGCACAACTAACTATATGAATACACCCCCCTTCCAATTAACGTTCTAGTTACGCTCCTGTTTAAAATCTGTCTTGACTGTACTGTCTAACCTTGTCTCGCTATCTATCGCGTTAGAAAAGCATCGACACGCGGCCTAAATGTTAAAATCATACACTCTTAAAAAAGTGCATATTGCTTTGTTTTTATTCTTTGCGTTCTTTGTGATTCTTGAATTTCAAACGATTGCAATTTTACGAAATCTTTGTTGACTTTCAACTGCCGCCATTTCTATTTTTGAATTGAAAAGAAGTTTATTGTTTGGCCTTCAATGCTTTTCTGCCAATCAGGATACAGTATTTTCAGTGTAATAACAGCTTTTCTAACTTTCATGGCATAAAACACAAAATCTACTCAATAAATATTCGCATATTGTCCCATTCTTAATTATTTCCCCCCCTTTGATGCCATAGTCACCCGTCATTTTAGAATACAAATGCACAGCGTAAGCGTCGTCCTCCAATATCTTCATCTTTGCGTTGTAAATTGCTCCGAAAGTCACTTCAAAGCATTCTTTTGCAATCGTTCCATAAAAAAACATATAAAACACGTTGCTGTTTACTAATATGACGTCATTGCTACGGTTTGCTGCTGACCATTGTTGATAAACGCGGCTCAACAATAAAGGACCGTTTTCTGCCCAGGCCTGGGAATAGTGTCGCGAAAATTGCTCAATGCACATCTGTAGAAAGGGATGATATGGTTTGTCGAATTTCAAAATTGCTCCATTCAGAGTATCTGAGCTTTCCCAGCCAATAACATTTGAGGGTAGGTCGTGCCAGTCTTTCACTATTATGACGTCAGTATCGATATAAATGCCGCCGTATTTATATAACAGAAGTAATCGGATTAGGTCCGTTTCATGGCTATACCAATTTTGTCCTTCCATGGCGTAAGGTAGCTCGTCTCGTATGAATTCTACGGCTGACGTTCCTATGAACAAAATTCGAGACATTACGAAGATCAATTTATAATGGCACACTCGCTATTCAAAAATATCATGTTAATAACAAGTTGACTAAGCATTTTTGCGAGTAATGTTTGTAGTGAAACACCTTAATCATGTTTTTTATTTCTCCTTGTTTCGCTTCGACGTTTGATGTTCGTGGCAGTTAGGAAGACAGTGAGTGGAAGGTTTACAGATACTGTTTTATATGATATGCTTATTAAATTGAGTCACGTTGTTGTGATGTACTCAGGTATAGTAACAGGATAATGATTGTCTCCAATGTTCTACCAACTAAACTAAAAGATCAACTGTGAACTATGGTAATATTTCCAAACGCAGTTCTAGTTTCTTCCATATGTTAACAAGATATGAAAGAAAATCCTAAGTCTCTTTAACAAAATACCACACATAAACCTTGGACAGTGATTGATGTATCTTACCTTGTGCCAGATCTGATAGTTTGTAACGTTGTACGTATGCATCATAGCCTTTCTTTCTCAAGACATCAAGCATGGACAAATGCAGGGTATTACTATAGATAATCATGGTCGCGTTGGGATGATGATAAAACACAGACTCCACACAGCGCCAATGACGCCAATTGAACTCTCCTGGCACTTTTGACTTGCCGCCTCTTTCGTCCATTACTTTAATAAAATTTTGTGGGGAAGTTGTGAATATTGCATGAAAGGTAAGCTTTCCATTTCGTTGGTCAAGATGTCGAAAATTGTTCGCGGGCAGTAATCCACTAAAGTAACTTTGAGGATATAGTTTTGTTGCATCAATGTTCACTTTCCATGTCCCATTCCAAACAGTGTAAAAACCGAAGACGACATTAAGGAGAACAGAATATTTCACTACATGTTTTCGTATCTCGTTCGCTTTCGAGTTGCCTTCCCATTTCATGAAAAATATACTAACACCAACAAGAAACAGCGGAATTGTTATAATTGAAAATAGAAAGCAACGATCTGATGGATTAAACGTTATTATTACAACAAAATATCTTATGAGCGACCCAAGAAATGATTGAAACAAAGGTGAAAATTTCTCCAGAAAAAACAGCGAAATTGAGTTGTTAAAAAGGTGAAACGATGTTTCTTTGAGAACCATTTCTAGTTTTAACGAAGGAAAAGTCCAAGTATAAGCTAACTTTACTAGAACAAGTGGTAAGGTAATTAAAAAAGATATAAAGGAAACCAAAAAGCATTTTTGTACAAATTGTTCTTTGCCATCGCTGAGTGCTTTAAAGTAGATATTCCTTAAAGGTCGCGTAATTAGTGGAATAATTCCTAGAATGATGGATGAGTTGGTGAATGAAAGATTGTCACAGCGCATGCGCCGTATGGCATGTAAAAAAGGAGAAAGACTGAGAAGAGTTAGGCTAAAAAGGATGGCTTTAGTGTTCTTCATTTGGTTGTCAAGAAAAAAGACTAAGATGTACACCATGATGGGCTCAAAACAGGAGAAAATATTTTGAATGCTCACACTGTGAATAAAAATAGCTGCATTTGAGCAGATTGTTCCCGCCAGATGGGACAAAGTTACCATCATCAACATTTTACCATCAAATGAAAATATCTGTAAGGATTTACCACTAAGTTTAAAAGCGATTCCTGAGATGAAGGCTTCCAGAAGACTTTGAAGCATCGACATTTCAAAGAACCATAGATCATACTTGTACATCAATCCCCAAGATAGAGTTCCAGGTTTCTGATCAGCATGAATATAGTGATGACCAAAACAGAACAGACACCAAAGAAGGAAGAGGAACATTAAACCAGAAACAGCAGTCATCCTAAAGAAGTTCATGGCATGCTGTTTTAATATACAAAGGTAGGTTACCAACTTATATACATAGCTCATTTTCATGGGTCTATTGAAAGGGGTAGGAGGGGTGGGGGCAGAGCCTCCTTGATACCCCTCCTTGATAAATTCAATCAAAGGTTTGGTCATGGTAATGGAATTATATTAGAAAATCCCACGGCGGTGGTGACAATTATCTGAACCCCCGGCAAACTTGTTACAATTTGGCAATACAATTACTCAAATGAATTACGTTTTTGTTTGCAACGAAATACTCTCATAATTTTTTTAAAGATTAATGACGGTTGAAATACTTTAATTATGCCTACTGTCAGTCTGAGTGATTTCAAATGTCGACAAAAGGATTATGAGCTGAACTAATCGCGATGATCGAGGCCTTAGAAATACTGTGTACTCGTGTGATGAAATGCTGTCGCTATGCACTGCCTTTAAGGCTCCAACAAATTTAATACGAAAGCAGAACTCACCTTTTATAGTAATATTTTAGAAACGTTCTCGTTCATCATGCTATATGTGATATGTTGTTTGAAATCGATCAAATTTATACACCATTGTCCGGTAGAATCTCGTGTTATGTAAACCGTGGGCTGTCTTGAATTTATTCATAAGGTTGTGCAATTAATGCAATATCGTAAAACTCGATGAAGCATTAAGTTAATTTTCATAGCCATTGCGTGAAAACATTTGGTAAAAGGTTTTAATTATAACATCTTCAAATCGCCAGAAATACGAACAAACCATTGCTTGTGCGTTTTCGGAAATATTTATGATGTTACTACAGACTGAGTAGGAAGAAAACATGTGTGTTGTCTGTAGCAGTGCTTTTACCTTCGGTAATTACATAACTAGGAAAGAATTAAGGCATTCGTTGTAATAATCTCGCTTATTTTGTTTCATGCAATTCATACAACTTAGGTAGGTTACCAACTTATATAAAATTCTACATCAAGTAACTCTATTGTAATACAATACAACGCATAGTATTATTATAATCTCCATGGTCTTCTATATTGAATTATTACTTCCGGCAAAGTGTACTACAGTAGAACCTGTATTAAGCGGTATCCCTTGGGTCTTTCTCGTGTGACCGTTTCATACAGGTTTATGCTTAATACAGGTCTTTAGGAAGACCTGTATAACTTATAAATTTCGTGCGTATATCCTTTTCTTGGAGATAGGTTTTCTTGTCAATGGCTGAAGGCAGAAGCGGTCCAGGCTGGTGCAACCGAAGCGAGTGCATCAGTCATAGAATTAAATAGATAACATTTCCGCCACATTATAACTTACAATCAATACAAGCAAAATACAAGAAATATATCAGATTGGAAAGTTGATAGTTTCTAAATGCTTTAAATACCTTAACGCTGACAAAATATTGACAACAGATGTACATTGATGATTGAGAAATATTGTTTTAAAGCCTTCGTCGATTGTTTGCATGTGAGTATCATTTTGATCATAGCCGCATTACTAAAAAATGCGTCGCTAAATATGGCGTTTTTATGTGTCGAAATTTTTAGCAAAAATTTGTTTCATCATCCAGCTACACTGAGCTAAATTTGTATTACGACGTCACGGTGGCAAGATAATGCATCACTACGTCACGATGGGGAACAGTTGGTGCAACAGTTTTTGGCAGCACCGCACATCAGCAAATGTGAAGCACAGTGGCATACTCCTTGCTGAGTGTTGGGCGAATACCATCTCGTCTTCGTTGAGCCAAATCATAACTGATATGCAAGTGCGTCCATGTTCTTGCAAATTAGGCTTTCAATTAAGAAATATTATTATTCACTATGTGAGCATTCTCGGCCGTGATTGGTCAACTACCTGCAGATAATTCTCGATATCTGTAGGTTATGACGTCATAATCTACAGGTAATAGTTTCTACAAATATGGCCGCCATTAAAAGCCGGTTTTGAAAACAAATCAAACAACAGCGATGTTTGCCACAGTTTCTAAAAACGATGTGAAAGCTTTTGAAGCAAAAGGATGCGAAAACACTAAAAGAGCGGCGAAGCTTAATTTACAAAATATTTAAACGAGACGAACTTGAATAAACCGTGTGACAAAAACAGATTAGCAAAGGTTTGAAAAATGTTTTATATTGATATGTTTAGTTAATTCTTCAGTGAATAATAAAACAATTATTGAATTCGTGTTTCATATGATATCAAGAATTATTCAGACCTCGATCAATGTTAACAGCAAAACATAAAAAACATCTTTTATTTCTTTTATTAAATAAAATAATGCGAAAAAGACAAACATTTTAATTTTTCCTCCAAAAACGTATTCATGATCGATTATCAAATTCTCTTTGACTGGTTGATTGTTTTGATTGGTTGAGCTCTGATGTCTTTGGCACAGGCTAATGCAAACACAGCTCTAGACCAATCAGCGCACGCGTTTCATTGTGTTTATTTTATAATGTACTTTGTTGTACTCTGCCTAAGTTGTTAACAACATATCTGTTGTTTTAGAGACAATACACCAGCCTTTGTTGAGTCAGTCTGCAAATAAGACAGCTATAAGTCTTTGTCACGTGTTTCTCTGTCGAGACGCCCCATATACGTTAGCTAATGGATTGACTTTTGGGGTGATGAATCGATCGCACTTAACCGGTGTTATTAAGTATTAAGTTAAGACTTTCATCTCCCAGATTAGTCAACCAACGAGAATTTATAATTTTCCCCAGTAGTTTTTTCATCGTCATTCATAACCTATTTAATTTTCACCTGCAGAAAATCTTCGTGTTGATCGATATGTTCAAAGACGTTCCCTTCATAATCATTGTTGCCGTTATTTGTGGGGCCTTTCTTGTAGTCGCTACTTACAACATTTTGCCGTTTACTCGTCTGCTGGTTCAACAGTTGATCGGCATCTAATCCTTGACTACAATCTTGAGTGATCAAATCATCATCGTCCGCCGATAGTTGTCTTTTTCTGGCAGGTTCTGCCGTGAACATGTTGGTGATAAATGAACAACAGAGAACAAGAATAGTCTTTGCACTATCTAAAATATATAAGAAATAAGATAACGTGTGTCAGTGTAGGTAATGATGAATGAACAACAAAGAACGAGAACAGTCTTAACACTATCTAAAATATATAAGAAATAAGATAACGTGTGTCAGTGTAGGTAGTGATGAATGAACAACAGAGAACGAGAACAGTCTTAACACTATCTAAAATATATAAGAAATAAGATAACGTGTGTCAGTGTAGGTAGTGATGAATGAACAACAGAGAACAAGAACAGTCTTAACACTATCTAAAATATATAAGAAATAAGATAACGTGTGTCAGTGTAGGTAGTGATGAATGAACAACAGAGAACAAGAACAGTCTTTACACTATCTAAAATATATAAGAAATAAGATAACGTTTGTCAGTGTAGGTAGTGATGAATGAACAACAAAGAACAACAATAGTCTTAACACTATGTAAAATATATAAGAAATATGATAACGTGTGTCAGTGTAGGTAGTGATGAATGAACAACAGAGAACTGGAAGTGTTTGCAGTAAGTCTATTATATTGATATTATTATAATTGATGTGAAGGAGGCGTCTATTAGAGACTGGGCGTTTATGAGAGAGAGGCGTCTAAAATGCAAACTCGCGCACACGAGAAACGAAATGTTGTTTTCATCAGGAGGCTGTTATTGAATCAGTTATTTACAAAAATTTGAAACCAAATGTTATGTGCCACAGGAAATAATCCAGATTATCCTGATTTTCTAGCACCAAGAAAGGAGTTGCTATTTAGCTACTTCACAGCAACACTCGTACTGTAAATTTCCTGGAAAAATATGTAAATTGCACTGAAGTGTTCCTCAAGGTAATTAAGCGTTTTAACCGCTGCATTTTACGGCGAGGGACGCTGATTAAAGTTAATACAGTAACTATCGATTGTAAGTGTCTTTTCTTTCTAATTAGACTAGAATTTAGAACAATTATTCAGAGAATCCGAAATATTTAATTCAGTATTAATTTTTGTATCTTTAGGTTTACAAATTCATGTAGCGATCATGAGTCAGCATGATGCCATATCTTCACACTTATTATTTCAGTAATTATGCAATACTCGGTACTTTAAAATTTCTTTCGAAAACCTGAATGCCTTTTGTGCGGAAGTATTTGCTGTATTTGGTACAGGAGTTCATACATGCACTACATTTATAAAATTATCGAATAATTGAATTTTCGTTAACTTTAGATGCCGGTGACAGGAACAAAAATATACTCGAATGTTTCTCTCAAAGATTTTAACACCTTTGGCGTTGAAGTATTCGCCAAGTTTTATACAGAAGTCACTTCCACGCAAATGGTCGTGGAACTTTGTAAACAAGCCATGTTCGTAGATCAAGAGGTTCTTCTACTGGGTGGGGGAAGTAATATTTTACTTACTCAAGATTTCTCCGGTTTGGTTGTGAGAAATTGTATTCTCGGAAGAGAGATTGTCGCCGAAACTCCCGAGTCGATCGACATAAAAATCGGAGCCGGTGAATTATGGCAGGAAATTGTGGAATATGCAATTGACGAAGGTTTTGGTGGATTAGAAAATTTATCCCTGATTCCTGGAACTGTTGGGGCAGCCCCTGTACAGAATATTGGTGCCTATGGGGTAGAAATCAAAGACATTTTTGTCAAGCTTGAAGCAGTAAACCGAAAAACTGGCAAGGTGCATATATTTGACAATGAAGCCTTTCAATTTGGTTATAGAAGCAGCATTTTTACGACATCACTTGTGGACAAATATGTCATTACTTGGGTGACACTCAAACTTTCTAAAAAACCAATACTGAACGTTTCCCATGGGCAAATAACCGATCTGCTTGCTAAAAAAAGACTTATAAATCCCACTATCAGAGATATCAGTGAGATTGTTATTGAAATCAGACAGTCAAAGTTACCAGATCCTAATGAAATAGGCAATGCAGGTAGCTTTTTCAAAAACCCAATAATCCCTTTAAATCATTATGATAAATTGAAAATTGAATGGACTAAACTTCCCGGATCCAATACCAAAGATGGTGAATCGATCAAAGTTCCGGCTGCCTGGTTGATAGAAAAGTGTGGATTTAAAGGCAAAAGATATGGAAATGTCGGTGTTTACAGCAAGCATGCTCTTGTCCTGGTCAACTATGGTGGTGGTACAGGTATGGAAATCCAAAATCTTGCCAACAATATCCAAAAGACTGTTGAAAAAACATTTGGTATCAAATTAGAGCCAGAAGTGAACATTATTTAAACAGCTATAACATCACAGAGTTTGTTGAAAGCTTTACTGCACCCCCACTGCACCCTCCATTTTTAAACTATGCTTGTCCCTGATTTTCTCCTTAAAAATGGGATGCTGAAGTACACCCAATAAAATGTTTTTTATGAAAAAAGTGTAGGGAAGGGCTGCATGCTCATTCCCCGACTCCATGGTTTAGGCCTGTGTTTAATTGTATTTGTATGTTTGAAGGATTTCTTACTACCAATCCTAATAAATTTCATTTTTATTGATCCAATAAATTTGATCACTTTTGCCTTTGCTCGACAGCAACTCTTAATATTGTCAATCTTTATTAACCACTACTAATTCGTTGTATGAATTGCATGAAACAAAATGAGCGAGATTATTACAACGAATGCCTTAATTCTTTCCTCGTTATGTAATTACCTAAGGTAAAGGCACTGCTGGAGACAACACAGATGTTTTCTTTGCACTCAGTCGGTAGTAACATCATAAATATTTCCGATAACGCACAAGCAATGGTTTGTTCGTATTTCTGGCGAACTGAAGATGTTATAATTAAAACCTTTTACCAAATGTTTTCACGCAATGGCTATGAAAATTAACTTAATGCTTCATCGAGTTTTACGATATTGCATTAATTGCACAAACTTATGAATAAATTCAAGACAGCCCACGGTTTACATAGCACGGCACTTCTACCGGACAATGGTGTATAAATTTGATTGATTTCAAACAACATATCACATATAGCATGATGAACGAGAACGTTTCTAAAATATTACTATAAAAGGTGAGTTCTGCTTTCGTATTAAATTTGTTGGAGCCTTGAAGGCAGTGCATAGCGACAGCATTTCATCACACGAGTACACAGTATTTCTACGGCCTCGATCATCGCGATTAGTTCAGCTCATAATCCTGTTGTCGACATTTGAAATCACTCAGACTGACAGTGGACATAATTAAAGTATTTCAACCGTCATTAATCTTTAAAAAAATTATGAGAGTATTTCGTTGCAAACAAAAGCTTAATTCATTTGCGTAATTGTATTGCCAAATTGTAACAAGTTGGCCGGTGGGGAGGGGGGGTTTCACATAATTGTCACCACCGCCGCGGGATTTTCTAATATAATTCTATTACCATGACCAAACCTTAGATAGACTTTATCAAGGAGGGGTATCAAGAAGGCTGTGCCCCCACCCCTCCTACCCCTTTCAATGGACCCATGAAAATGAGCTATGTATATAGGTTGGTAACCTACCTTTGTATATTAAAACACCATGCCATGAATGAACTTCTTTAGGATGACTGCTGTTTCTGGTTTAATGTTCCTCTTCCTTCTCTGGTGTCTGTTCTGTTTTGGTCATCACTATATTCATGCTGATCAGAAACCTCGGACTGTCTCCTTGGGAATATTTTACAAGTATCTATGGTTCTTTGAAATGTCGATGCTTCAAAGTCTCCTGGAAGCCTTCATCTCAGGAATCGCTTTGAAACTTAGTGGTAAATCCTTACAGATATTTTCATTTGATGGTAAAATTTTAATAATGGTAACTTTGTTCCATCTGGCGGGAACAATCTGCTCAAATGCAGCTATTTTTATTCACAGTGTGAGCATTCAAAATATTTTCGCCTGTTTTGAGCCTATCATGGTGTACATCTTAGTCTTTTTTCTTGACAACCAAGTGAAGAACACTAAAGCACTCCTTTTTAGCTTAACTCTTCTCAGTCTTTCTCCTTTTTTACTTGCCATGCGCAGTGACAATCTTTCATTCACCAAACCATCCATCATTCTAGGAATTATTTCACTAATTACGCGACCTTTAAGGAATATCTACTTTAAAGCACTCAGCGATGGCGAAGAACAATTTGTACAAAAATGCTTTTTGGTTTCCTGTATATCTTTTTTAATTACCTTACCACTTGTTCTAGTAAAGTTAGCTTATACTTGGATTTTTCCTTCATTAAAACTAGAAATGGTTCTCCGAGAAACATCGTTTCACTTTTTTAACAATTCAATTTCGTTGTTTTTTCTGGAGAAATTTTCACCTTTGTTTCAATCATTTCTTGGGTCGCTCATAAGATATTTTGTTGTAATGATAACGTTTAATCTGTCAGATCGTTGCTTTCTTTTTTCAATTATAACAATTCCGCTTTTTCTTATTGGTGTTAGTATATTTTTCATGAAATGGAACGAAAACTCGAAAAAGAACGAGATTCAAAAATATTTAGTAAAATACTCTGTTCTCGTTAATGTCTTCTTCGGTGCTTACATCATTTTGGATGGAAAATGGAGGATTTTTACAAACAAAACAGAAAAACTATATCCTCAAACTCAATTTACTAACTTACTTCTCGGAAACAATTCTCGACATCTTCACCAACGAAATGGAAAGCTTACCTTTCATGCAATATTCACAACTTCCTCGCAAAGTTTTATTAAAGTAATGGACGAAAGAGGCGGCAAGTCAAAAGTGCAAGGAGAGTTCAATTGGCGTCATTGGCGTTGTGTGGAGTCTGTGTTTTATCATCATCCCAACGCGACCATGATTATCCATAGTAATACCCTGCATTTGTCCATACTTGATGTCTTGAGAAAGAAAGGCTATGATGCACACGTACAACGTTACAAACTATCAGAACTGGCACAAGGTAAGATACATCAATCAATGTCCAAGGTTTATGTTTGGTATTTTGTTAAAGAGACTAAGGATTTTCTTTCATATCTTGTTAACATATGGAAGAAACTAGAACTGCGTTTTGAAATGTCATCATAGTTCACAGTTGATCTTTTAGTTCAGTTGGTAGAACATTGAAGACAATGATTATCTTCTTACTATACCTGAGTACATCACAACAACGTGATGTTATTATCTATGATATTAAGATATGAAAGAAACTAGAACTGTGTTTTAAAATATCATCATAGTTCACAGTTGATCTTTTAGTTCAGTTGGTAGAACATTTAAGACAATGATTATCTTGTTACAATATCTGAGTACATTACAACAACGTGATGTTATTATGTATGATAATAAGATATGAAAGAAACTAGAACTGTGTTTTAAAATATCATCATAGTTCACAGATGATCTTGTAGTTTAGTTGGTAGGACATTGAAGACAATGATTATCTTGTTACAATATCTGAGTACATTACAACAACGTGATGTTATTATCTATGATATTAAGATATGAAAGAAACTAGAACTGTGTTTTAAAATATCATCATACTCCACAGATGATCTTGTAGTTTAGTTGGTAGGACATTGAAGACAATGATTATCTTGTTACTATACCTGAGTACATCACAACAACATGATGTTATTATCTATGATATTAAGATAAGAAAGAAACTAGAACTGTGTTTTAAAATATCATCATAGTCCACAGATGATCTTGTAGTTTAGTTGGTAGAGCATTGAAGACAATGATTATCTTGTTAAAATACCTGAGTACATCACAACAACGTGACTCAATTTAAGAAGCATATGATATAAAATAGTATCTGTAAATTTCTGCTCACTGTCTTCCTAACTGCCACGAACATCAAACGTCGAAGGAGAAATGAAAAACATGATTAAGGTGTTTCACTACAAACATTACTCGCAAAAAAGCTTCGTCAACTTATTATTAACATGATATTTTTGAAAAGCGAGTGTGACATTATAAATTGATCTTCTTAAAGTCTCGAATTTTGTTCATAGGAACGTCAGCCGTAGAATTCATACGAGATGAGCTACCTTACGCCATGGAAGGACAAAATTGGTATAGCCATGAAACGGACCTAATCCGATTGCTTCTGTTATATAAATACGGCGGGATTTATATCGATACTGACGTCATAATAGTGAGAGACTGGCACGACCTACCCTCAAATGTTATTGGCTGGGAAAGCTCAAAGAATCTGAATGGAGCGATTTTGAAATTCGACAAACCATATCATCCCTTTCTACAGATGTGCATTGAGCAATTTTCGCGACACTATTCCCAGGCCTGGGCAGAAAACGGTCCTTTGCTGTTGAGCCGCCTTTATCGAAGATGGTCAGCAGTAAACCGTAACAATGACGTGATGTTAGTAAACAGCAACGTGTTTTATATGTTTTTTTATGGAACGATTGCAAAAGAATGCTTTGAACTGACTCGTGGGACTGTTTATAATGCAAAAATGGAGATATTGGTGAAGAATGCATATGCAGTGCATTTGTATTCTAAAATGACGGGTGCCTTTGGCATCAAAGGGGGGAAAAAAATTAAGAGTGGGACAATATGTGAATATTTATTAAGTAGATTTTGTGTTTTATGCCATGAGAGTTACTGATAGAGAAGATGAAATGATACTTTGATGTATAATAACATAATATTACATTTTTTGTCAATCAAGAGCGGCTGGCCTGGCCCTTCCTTGAAACATAAACAAAAGCACAAGCATAAGGATAAATAAGCGTAAGAAGATTTTTGATAATCTTGAGCTTATGCTCATGTAGCACTTGTATTCCTCCATAATCTTACTACATTGACCTACAATACAACTAGGCCCAGCCCCTCTCCTCCCCCCCCCCATTCATGAAGATGTCACCATGAGAAAGGACTGGGAACTACATACCATTTGATTTTTCTTTAGACAAGAATGAGTTGAATATCAATGCTACATCATAAAACCTCCTTCCAAAAGCTTTGTCCAAATCTTGTCCACAGTCCACTCTGGATGGGGCCCATCTCTGATTATTTGTGCAATTAACATGGTCGACGTTTTTTCTGTTACATGTTGAGCAAATCTCTCTTCAATTGTTTTCTTCTTGATCTTATTCACACAATCTGCATAAAATTTCCTCTTTTCTATGATTTCACGCACATGCTGACAACGTACACATGACTTCACTGTGTGTACGTTTGACTTCAAAAAGCTTTGATATTTGTGTCTTAAGTTTTCAAATTTCAGTCTATCATAAGCCGAACGAAAATAGTCGACGTTGTCAGTATTTTCAACTTTCTTTCTCTCCAAATGGTTTATTGATTTCACGCATGTCCGACGAAGTGGAAGCTTGTCGCTTGATTCGTATGTCTGATTAAAGTTTTGTCTATTTCTTTCTTTCAAATTGTGAAGCTTTTGCAGCCAAAATGCGTCAAGACTGCAATCTTCTTTAGTCTCACCAGACGTTTTTGTCGATTTACAACGATAGTCTTTCAAAATACGCAACTTCTCTCGAACAAATGTTTTTAAAACTTCATCACTGTTATCGCCGTCATCACCAAAAACGCTACTGCAAAATGATTCACGAGAAATCTCTAAAATACTCGCAGTCGAACTTGAATTAAAATCCTCGCTGTATTTTTCTTCTGTCTTTTCGGTTTTCTCTTGACTGCTAAACTGGGATATTTCAAATAAAACATTCTCATCAATATTTGACTTTGACGAGTCGTTGACGGCCATCTTGAAAACCGTTAATTCTCCCCAGTCCCCCCAGTCTTGAAGTCATTGGTATAATTGAATATACAGTATATTTACAAACAACCAAGAAAATAGACACTTAGATGCTGGAAGCCAAAACGGTCTTTTTCAAAGTTGAATAACAATCAATGATCCTGCCAAGGTCTTTCCAAGATGAAGTAGATGTACAAATTATTCAAAAATGAAAAGAACTCTGCACAAGTTTTTATTAAATACTAGGTAAGTATGCCTAAATTTTCTTGGCAGTGGTTGAGTTTTTTAAATTTCTTTTAGTTTTATGAATGCTTGGACGGGATGGTATGCAGTAAAAAATCCTCAAGATCCAGCAAGGCTTGAGTGACGAAGTGGCAACCTTTATGTCTACCTTCATGTTGAAGAATAATTGAAACAAAACAAATACACATCCTAAACGAGAATGCTTCTTTTCATCTACATTTATTTGGGACCTTCATGGCCGATGGTTAACATTATTGCAGAAAATATTATAATTATTTGCGAGCACTTTGCTCAGCGGTAATACAATAAATAATTAACTACAAAACACATTATTGTGGAGAGGTACTAAGTTTACATTGCAGTCTAAAAATGTATGTTAAATGAATAGTGATGTTTTCCTCCGTATTTTAACTTTGAACAGAAATCTTTTTTCCATTTTAGGGCATTCCTATCCTCATAATTTTTGAAGAAAAGATGACAAAAAAAACTGGTTTTGGTTTTACCTAAACTGGTTTCACAAAACATACACTAAATATCATTGCAAAATGGAAAAAAGTCATTTAAAATCAAAGGAATTGTATAATTTTCGTTCGCCTTATAGACGTGAAACTGTTAGAAGTCTTGCGAGCTTCTCGTTAATTATTAAAATTACATTGAACAATGAATATTTCGGCTAGCTAGTTTCCGGGACCACACGGAACACTTTACCAATCCTAAGATGAACTTTATGTAGTATAAGTTTAAGTTCTTGTTTACAATCCAAGACGACCATGTCACATAGCTGAGGATAGTGTAAAGATACGTGAAGTTTGAACTGAAATGTAAAGAAAATACAGAAACTTATGAAAACGGACTTTAACATCCAAAGTCACATCATCACGGACGAATTTTCATATTTTTTTTTACGGAGGTGGTGTTAAAAATTTTAGAGGGGGGTGGTGAACGGGTTAGGATGTGACGTAAGAGTAAGTGAGTAAAGATTGTATACAGTTGAAACATTGCTCAAACTTAGTTCAACTGTACCAATGATTTGTTTTGTTAAAAATTTTGTGTGTGAATGTAAAATGCTTCTTAGGAAGGTAAAAATTTATTTAGAGGGGGTGGGGTGGGGGTGGGGGGTGAAATCTGTGTCTACCTCTCCCCAGAAAATCCGTCCATGCGTGAGATCATGAAAACGAATTTTTAGTAATAATTCTGTGTTCTACAAATACGCAAAATTAATCCGCAACCCAACCCCGATCCTTGATCTTACAGCACTTGGATATATCAATGACATGTTGGATTAGAGATTAATTTCACGTCAAGTAGAAGACGGAATTACGTATAAGCAAATTTTTGAGTGCTTGGAAAGTTCAACAAGCTCCATATGAAACCGACCACTTAAGGTCTCCACAAGATTAAACCATAACTTTTATGGAGCATGTTCACAAGCTATGGTACGGGGGTTGATGGGAATCAGTCTTTGGCTTTCGAAAAGCGCATGCTCGTACTTTACAAGACAAGGGGGAGTGGGACACAGCACATCATTTCCATCATTTAACCATATGAAAAATCACTACTCACTCTTTCATCGTTCAAACGAAGAATTCTGGTAAACATAAGCAATAGTAAACTCGTCCAAGCATCCCTGTGACCAACTGACTGTAATTCAATAAACTGCCTCAAAGCTTCATCGCAGATCCTAAAAAGAAAGAAAAAGAAAAAAATCAAATCAAGCCTTCGAGGAAAAGTTTAAATGGTTTCTAAAAGTGGGGATGCACATCGTTTGTTGATCTTGCTAATCCCCAGGCGTACCTCAACACCTTTTCCTCGACGCCTTCCCATGATTCCTTTCTCGCAACGTCATCGTACATGCGAAAGAGAATTCTCAACAGGCAGGCCAAACTGGACGTCTCTTGTTTCAATAAATTGGGCTTTGACTGTCCTTTAAAACCTTCAAATGATCAAAGAAATTATACAGAGAAGTGTATAATGAATGAAGCAAAGGAAAAGTTTACTTGTGTGTCCGCCATCTTATTTATCAGAAAAAAACCATGCGTGCAGTATAACCATAAAAGCAAATGTTTTTTACTTTCACAAGACTTGGTCTAGTGACCTTAGAATTTCCCACCTGTTTTATGTAGATTCAACATTCAGAAAAGGGGGGGAGGACAGTTTAACCTCATACGACCAAATCTGGTAAAGAAACTTGGCCACCCTGCATGTGGGTGTCTAGGTATAGGGACATGCACAGCTTTTGGAGTGAGTGCCCTAATAGGAAGGACAGCCACAAATTCGCCTTTTTGCTTGAACGTTTTGAATGTGATGTTTTTACTCGTGTATTAATTTTCAATTCAAATAGAAACTGTACAAAAATGTGTCGCTCGTGTCAAATGGTACAATATATTAATGAAACGTTTACCAGCTTTCCAAAGGGCCGTCCTCAGCCCGTTGTTACAATTGAAGCTTTTAGCAAACTTATACGAGTTCTCCAGCACTTCGCAAAACAAAAACAGCTGGTTAGAGGTAAGATGTGGAAACATTCCGTCGTGTTTTCGTTTAGCGGTTCGTCGAGGAGTGTTGAGACCCTGAAATAATGAAAAACTAAGTCACCAATCATAATGAGACATGTACGATTATTGAAAGTAAACAACTCTGACTACAGTGTATCGTTGCTACTTAGAACAATGTCAAAACATGAAATTGTATGAAAGTTCAGCTCTGGGTAAATAAACATCAAAAACCAAGATGCAAAACCCTCAAAGAGCGCATTTGATTGGATTATGGTTGACAATCACTCCCTGGAAAAACACGGTTGTAGCTACATATGGTATTCAAATGGCTATTTTTTAACTAAAGAGTTCGACTTCCATTGTGTATATAATAGTGTAATCATCACGATAGCACTCCGGTGATCACATAGTTCAGTTCTATGATTTCTTTTGGTATTTCGCGAAGGAAAGTAAAATTCGTAAAATTTGCAATTCGGCTATTTTTACACCAATCAGGTGAAAGAGGATTTACTACACCATTATAGGTGATTTAGAGAATCAGTTTGACCAATCAGGTGAAAGAGGATTTACTACACCATTATAGGTGATTTAGAGAATCAGTTTGACCAATCAGGTGAAAGAAGATTTACTACACCATTGTAGGTGATTTAGAGAATCAGTTTGACCAATCAGGTCAAAGAGGATCTTACAAGCCTGCAAACAACACATAAGGAGCTTTAAGGAATTCAACCCAAGGAAATCGTTTATTCTATAAAGTCCTATGAGGATAGTTATTGAAATTTTTACGTGTCTAAAGAAGGAGGAACCAGTTGTGAACTCGATAAATAGGGAGGTTTACATATTCATGTTTTGCTGTATTAACTTCCAGTGAAATCAATTGTTCTCTACAGATTAAGAGATGCATATATGACTTTCTGACCACCCCACCCCTACAACCACAGAATAATAATTATACAGAAGAGCCACTCAAGTGTGCACTGCGTCCTCATGGCCGCCATTATTCTAGCAAGATATATTTAGGGTTTTTCATTTGTTTCCAACCACTACAATTACATGACGTCATTTCTTCGTAATGAAAATAAAAATATTTAACATGAGAAATGACGTCGTTTCATTTTAGTGTTTGGAAACAAGTGAAAAGCCCTAAATATCTTGCTGGAATAATGGCAGTCGATATGCGCGTCACAATATGCTTGAGGACAAAAACATCAAAGGTTCCGACACAAGTGACTTTTCTGTATATTACATATTCTGTGCTTCAGCTAAGAACTTTGTTATGCCACCAAGGGGAACTCTGGTATAACAACATTACGACAAAGCAATTTATCTCAGTATTACCTACAATGACCGTAATTACAACTGACCTGTAATTCAGCCATAGTATCTTCATCTTCTCGCTTGCTGGTGCTTGGGAAAAAGACGACATTGTCGATCATTTGAATAAGTTCCAATTGAACGACACACTTAATGATCAATGAATTGAACAGCATCCTCTCCGTCTGCACAACTGAAATAATCAGATGATTTTACGACGTTAAAGTACATACATGAAAAAATTTAAAAATGTCACTCTGGTGTTGGTTGAACATTTCCGCATTCACGCTCAGACGATTTTTTCATTTGTCGGTAAAAATCGAACTTTTGAGTATGCCAAACAAAGGGCTAATTTATCTTATTAGAGGATTTTCAAACGCATATATCAATTATACGTTTTGCTACGCCTTTCCAATAAACAAAAGTAAATTAAACACGTAAATGGCAGCAGGCTGTGACAACAAATTATTAATCTCAATTGATTTCTAGCACATAGTTACCTGGTTCGTGTTCTTCGACAGGTTCAAATCGTAAACTAGGCGTACTATGTAAACTAATGCTGTCTTGTTCTTTGGTTTCTTCAACTGTATCTTGAGGCATTTCCTCCTCCGTTTCATTCAAACCTTTTGACGATTGCTGGCCATCTGGTTCGTCCTCGTCTAAAAAATAATACGGAAAAATTTTTCACTTGTTACTCAAAAGAATGCTAGCTGTTGGTTCATACGAGTTAAAGATTCACAGGAGCTATATTGCAATATGCGAACTTTTGCTTCATATGAGCTTTTGGTTCAAATGAGCTTTTTTAATATGCGAGCTTTAGCTTACCATGAAATATTTTCCAATCTTACAATTATGGACACAATTGAAGCAAAAATTTCCCTTTAAAAGAATTCACAAACGTTTTATTTACCTTCCGGATATTTAGGCACGATATCATCCTCCAGGTCGACAGGTGACATTATCT